TAGGGGGAAAGAGGCAAAAGCAAAACCCCCTCTCTGGAACCTGGGAGACCCAGTGCTATCTTTCCTTAAGCTTTTCATCTTATTCTGGATGCTGTTAGCCATCTTGAGTGCTTTTGGGGGTGGGGGCAGAAAAGTGATGAATAAATAACGATGCCACAACAGTGCTGCCCAGGGATCATGGCTGTCGTAGTCCAACATATCTGGCGGACACCAGGTTGGGAAAGCTGGTAGTGCTGAGCGAGAGGGACATGGCCCAAGGCTGCTTTCCTGTGTTCCTAGCCACAGTTTCTCTCATCAGCTGCATGGCAAGCATGGGGCCCTGCCTATTCTGTGTTCCAGTAGAAGCACAGAATGCAGCATCCCAAGAATACAGTTTTAGGGTGATCATCCTTTTGCTTGTGCCAACAGCGCACTGAGAATGTGTCAGCAATGTCTGTCAATGTTACCAGGAGAATTCCCAGGGGATCAGGCTTCAGTCCCCTCCATACTTCCTTGTCCTTCCAACGTGACCATTTTCCTTCCATAAAATTCAGCAACTGACGGAAGCATGTGGAAATTTGGCTGACTAGCACAATTCTACAAGTAGCAGAATTCAGCTTCACTTGGCACAGCATATGGAGCACCTCGGTGAAGAATTTTATTTTGTGCAAGCGCAGAGTACACAGCCCTGACAGACCTCCTGTCTGCATTCATTACACAAGCCTGTGAAGTGTGTAGCAAGGTTCAGGTCAGCTTCCTTAACATCCTTTTGTCATGCCAAGGTTGGGGAGTGTGGGGCACCCACCCCATGAGACTCCTCATTACAAAATAGCTCTAGTAAAGATCTCCCTGGACTTTGCATGTGCTACTCTGTCATTTGGGACTCCAGGTTTAACCTTAACCATCAGTCCTGGGACAGCATCCATGGAATTTCATTTTAGCATATAATCTAATTGAGAAGTCCCAGGCTACAGCCCATCTGCGGTTTTATAGGGGCTGCTGGCGGTAAATTAGATCCATCCCCTTCTATTGGATGTGTTGTCATTTTTATGACTTTGGGGGTTATATAAATAGGAGAGTGGGGAAGACGGGAGGGAGAGAGGCAGGCTCAGTCCACAATTGCCGAGCTCCCTTCTCTCCCTTTCAGTGTCTCAAAATTCTGGCTAGTTTATAAAAATCTCACTCAGTGTCAGTTCCTGGCTGGAACACAAACCCTGTTGATGTGGAGAACAAGAGGCAACTTCAAACAGCTGTTGGCATGTGTCAGAAACAGATAAAGTAAGAAAACAGAATGGAGTTCAGAGTGGGGTTCCTAGATCACAAGCCACAGCAGAGACGGGGAAGCAGAATGTTTTGAATTATAGATAATTGTATGTGTGTGTATGCATGCTTCATATGCTTCCAGATCTGCATATGAGTTCTAGGGAAGTTTTAATCTGCTGTTCTCTAATAGGCACCTTTTGCTCTATACAGTGTCTAAAGACTTCCCAGTTTGTTTAAGTGGAGGGAACGGTTCCACACGAATACTTCTGTACATGCGGAGCTGCCCTTCGTGGAAGTGAACAAGAGGCCCTCGGGATGGAGGAGAGATGCTGCAGCCACAGAGAAGGCCTCTGCATTGTGGCTGTGATGCGATGCAGGACAAGTCACTCATCTTCCTGTCCCTCACTTATCAAGAATATGATGAATGTGTCAGCCCTGCCATTCCACAGCGGTCTAGATGTGTCCTGGAATGTATGGCCAAACGGACATAAGCAAAATCAACAGAGTTTAGGTGTGCTATCATTGCAAAATTAGCTGAACTAGCAATACGACAGATTAAGCAGTAGCCACATGCGTGAACCACACCATCAACATAGTGTTCCCCCCTCTCCTGTTGTTCCTTGTTATTGCTTGTTTTTATAATCTGTTTTAAACCTTTTAATATTTTTTCTTATTTTATGATATTTTTATTGTACTTTTATCATCTGTTTTTATGGAGTGTGTAAATCGCCCAGAGAGCTTCGGCTGCAGGGTGGCATAGAAATGCAATAAATAAACAAACTATGGATAAAGTACTTAGATTGGATAGCGCTGCAAAGCCCTGTAAGCTGGAACTCCTTAGAACAAGTCTAGAAAAACTCTTGATTTCTGTCTTGTAAGCTAGCTGTTTCTGAACAATTTCCTTTAACTCCAAAAATACATTTTGGAACTGGTGGAGATAACGGTGAGCATATGCTGCTTCTTTACAACTAGCCTCTGCATCCTAGTTTTGGAAAATCCCTGTTTCAGGAAGCCTGCATGCCAATGCTGGAATGGCTATGCAATTAGTGTGAGTAGGAACACAATATCTTAAACAATTTCTAATTCTAGAGAAGTATCAGATCAAGACCTTCATCTTATCTCCATGTTCTCCAGAATTCTGCTCCAAGTTTCAGTCACTGGAGGTATATATCAACCCTTATGGTTCTCATCCAAAGGCAAAGGCCCTCTTCAGTGTTCAACACATGTAGTGACACAAAATAATTGCTATCATTATGAATGGTGCTGGAAGAAAACAACCTGGACAATAAGATGCTGGCTTGGAGCAGGAAGTTTAGCCTGCAACATTTCAGTGGCCGAGGCAAATAAATAAATAAATCCAAATGGTCCTTTAACACACTAATTAGCAAGTGAAATAATCATCTAGTAAGTCTTACTGTAAAAACTAATGGAACTGAAGGGCAGTTGCACATCATTAAAATCAAATGTCAACACTTTTCTTGGACTGTACCAGTTCAGGATGCAAGTGAAGTAGTATGTTTGAATGACTGCCAGTGAGAAGGGGCACCCTGCATGTGAAAAATTGGCACGTCAAAGAAGAGGGTTCAACTTGGCTTTCTTATTGCTTGTTTGCTAAATTCAGGGTTCCCCCTCATTGGTGAGCATTCAAGTATGTAACCTCTTACCTGCCACCTGAAATGGTAGACTGAAGGAAAAGCATTACTGCCTGATTGATGACTGTATAAACTTAACTGGCCCATGTATTCCTATATACTATGCAACAGGTACTGGGAAGCTTCAAGGATGAAAGGCTTCTCTGTATGCAAAGATTGCAGTCATAATGTAAACAGCTCTGGAGCTGTTCTATGTTCTGGGGAATGGGTGGATTCCCCTCTCCCTTCTGATTAGCTCTATAACCCAGAGCTTAGGTGCCTGGAAAAGCCTACACACACTCCACTGTCCTTTCACTCTTTTCAAGGCCTCCTGTCCAATTTTGTGCATTTCCCAGGCATATGCACGGCAGGACTTCATCAAATCATAAATGGTAAATTTACTTGGAGATGGTTTCCTTTTGAGCTAGCACAGCTAGCCTCAGTCCATGAAGCCTGAATCCAGAGGATTGGTTCTCCTGCTGGGTTGTTTTCCCTTATCACTAAGTGCTCCTAGCTGCAGCTTTGAGCCACAATCATATGTGCATGTTCTTAAAAGTAAACCGATTGGAATCATTTGGGTTCATTTCCAACTGGAGTTGGTGTGTACACACTGTGATATTCACATAAATTCTTTGCTGTGGTGTCATCTTGTCAAAAGGGCAACCATTTGAGGAAGTGTAAATCAGGACCATGCTGTGAGATAGTGTCACTCCGGCACAGCTATACTGGAAATGTAGGATCTACTTTGGTTGGCAAACTACAACCCATGAGGCCCACCAACTGGAGCCAGAGGAAAAATGCTGGCTTAAGGGGGCAGAACTAGTTGACTACTGAACCCCATGACTTACACACTGGGATGATCTGCATACACAAATGCAAATTTGCGTATATCTGAGTTACTACAGATCAGGGATTCTAATTTAAACCTAAAATTGCTGCTGTTAAACAACAGGAAACCCCTACTGAATGGTAGATTAGCAAAAGTACCCATTTCCTAATTGTTTAATTGTAAGTCACCCAGAGACCTACAAAGGCTCCCAGTCTACAAATTTGTTCACTCCTGAACTACAGTATATGTGCAACCTCTTTTCACCCCCCCCCCATCCATTATCTGTGTCTTCCTATGGTTTTGCCCCTCGTGTACCTGAGTTGACTCAGTAAGATAGCAGGAGGAGGGCAGGCTGAATCAATGATGTAAGTCTGGCCTTGCTATCACCAGACCAAGGTCTCTCCTACTGTAGTCCATGTGTTTGATACAGAATCTGACTACTGTGGGAGGAAGGGGTGTTCCACAAGATGGGTTCTGCTTGTGGAAGGTGTTGCCATGCCATTTTGGGGGATCACCCCAATTGGCAGGGTGTCTGCGCAGCATTTTCAGAGGGCTGGAAGGGCTGCCTCAGGAAGGTGGAGGGGAATTCACTTTTAACAGAGCTGTGGATTCTGCTGGAGGTGTTTGTGCCACAGAGCACATTTACATGTTGCTTATTTTCTTCAGAACATCATCTTCTACCTTGTGTTACACCTTAAAAACTAGCAAATTTGTACTGGCATGCACTTTTTTGGCAAGACCCCATTTTGAAAGGCTCACAGTGTTATTCCCAGCTGGCAGGTATAATATAACTGATCACATAAACAAATAAAAGTGTGCATCTCCACCCACAAGCAGCCACACATGGACCTCCTTTACAACTCCTTTCTGGAGGCTCCAAACATTTCGGTAACTAATTTTAACCAGATGCTGGAGATGCCCCTTCCCGCATCGCGCTACTTTGCTGTGGTCACGTGGGAGCATCGCATTGGTTTGCCACGCTGACACACATGCAATGACACGGTGACCCATTTCGGGGCAGCGAGCAAAGATGACACGCAGCAGGCACGACCGCCGCCGCCCGAAACGCGCGCGCATTAACGGACAGACCAACCAACCAACCAACCGTCACCCACGGAGGTGACGTTACGCGTCGTGACACCTAGGCGGCATGCGGAGTTTCCACGGCAACCAGAGTGCCCCGCCTCCCTCGGGGAGGGGTCCTCGGGGCAGGTCAAAGTGCGCGCCTCTTTCCTACTTGCCGCTCTAGGCCAGCCGGCCTCGGTGGTTTTGCATCCCGGAAGCGCCAACAGAGCAGGGGAACTAGGAAGTGTGTGCGACGTGTGCGGTTGGAGCCGGGTTTGGGGAGAGTTTGCTCTGCCGGGGCGACCAACGACAGGAACGAGCCCTCCCGCGGCAGGACTCCTCACCTGGGCCCTGCTCACGTCACAGCTTCTCCTGCCAGCCCCGCCCCCACGCTTGGGAAAGAGTTGTGATCCCCGCGCCCCGTCTTTCGCTGACCCCCAGCGCTTTGCCGGGCATGGCTTCTGCCCCTTCTGGCTCCAACTGGGGCCTGATCATGAACATCGTAAACAGCATCGTGGGGGTCAGTGTACTAACGATGCCCTTCTGTTTTCGGCAGGTGAGTCCGTTCCTGCAGCATGTGCACCTACTTTTTCTTTCTTCCCTCCTGCCCCAGCGGTTGGTTGAATGCTGTGCATTGTAGGAATTTTGCAGTCTTTCTGTTGTCTCGGTGCTTAGAAATTCTGTTTCCCCTCAGCCCAGGTTGGGAAACAATGTGCGACAGGCTAACACTTGATAGGTGCAGCTTTCCTCTATATTTAAGATGGGAAAGCTGCACATTATGTGTGTTTGTGTTGGATGTGTCAGACGATGCAAAGGTCTGCCAGAAAGATAGGGGAGGAACATTACTGGTGTCTTGCAGTGGTGTTAAGCAAAATAAATTAATTCTGAGTGGCCTGTTGATTTTGTTGACTTGGTCAGGGGAAAGCATTGCTTCTCTGCGTGTTACACCTTGCAAGTACTTAGTCTTCATGCCTCTTACATCCTTATTCCTTTTAGACCAAATATTCTACCCTTTTATTGGTTATATGTCAAATTTTGCATTTTCATATTTCAGCCTTCCCCAGCTTGGTGTCCTCCAGATGTGTTGAACTGTAGTTCCCATCATTCCTGGACAGTATGGCCAACACCATACTAGAGCCTGCCCTACTGGGGAAAGCTGTTATTTTTATTATTTTTGGCTCCTTGTCTTTGCCTTGAAAGCTGCAGGCTAATGCTTGTTTTACAGAAAGTTGGGTCTGGGCTAGTTATGCATAAGTGTTTGCCTAGAGCTGTACTGTTTTAATGGCATGACTTTGTTTTTAACACTTAGCTTAGGAACAGACGCCAAGGGGTGCATTTTGCTGGCTAATTTGGCCAAAAGTTGTGGTTTGAACTACTTATACCAATTTTGAAATTAAAAAAAAAATGAAATTGTTTATCTTCATAACATCCACCCCATGACAATGATTTCATAAACAAAATCGTGTGAGGGGAAGTTTCTCTTACCTCATTAATCTGTGGTTCTTTTGCTTATCTTGCCTTGGCTATCTGGATATATAGAATGTGGCTGAATCAATGTTTTGTTGTGGTTTGGAGCTTAGAAGTTGGCTGCATACTATAGTGTTGTTACACCTGTATAGCTTGTTTGGCAGGCAACAAAATTTCATAGGATTGTAGGACTTAAGAGGTGGGGAATTCTCTTTTTTCCCTTTAATTAAAACTATTTTACATTTTTAAGAGTCAACTAGTAACTGTTCTTTCTGATATTTTTCTTCTGCCCCTTCGAGCATTGATTCCTTGGATGTACACAGGCCACCAGATGATAGAGCCCAGTACAAGGCAAGTTTTGGAAACACTTGTGTAACTTTAGCACCTGAGGCTATTTCACATGATAAGTATCTGGCAGGTGTTATGCCATGTGTATATCACCATACTGTACTTCCAGAATCTCTAGTGTGGCACTTGTGTCAAGGACTCCTCCTTTGATGCCTGCCAGGTTCCCTGTCCCTCTGCTTTTTAATTGTTTTTCTTAAGCTCTTTTTAAAAATAATGCTTAAATTATGCATTTTAAAAAGAGAAGTTAGCATGCTATAAAGTCCCCCCTCTAGCTACATCTCTAAGTTCACAAGAGTGAGTTTGTGTTTTGGAATTCAGACACTGCCTCTGCCTTGTACTACTTTCTTGGAAAGTTATTTTTCTTTTAATCTCACTGGTTTGCCTTCGGAGGAATGGTTGTTCTGTGACTAGCTGTACTCACTGTGGCAGCCTTTTTGTGAATGAGCATGTTCCTGCCATTATTTTGCAAGAGCACACTCACTATATCTCTCAAAATTCCAGTGGCTCCAACTGATCCAAAAATATTGGGGACCTATGCCTTTAATTTTTATTTATGTGGATCTAATTTATTGTTGTAAGCCACCCCGAGGCTTCGGCGAATGGGGCGGCATAAAAATGTTTTAACAAATAAAAATAAATAAATAAAAGTGATAGACCTTCCCACTTCCAAAGTGCTTGCATTCCACATTTACAAGACATAGGGTCTCATGACCTATTGCATGCTTCAAGAAAAGTGTGTTACGCTGTTGCATGATATGTGGCCTGCTGTGGATGCTTGCAGCATACAGGTGTGAACCTCCTACTTTTCTGTCACTCAGTTGTGCCCTGAGATTGAGACCATAAGACAAGCCTCGCTGGGTCAGACCAAAAGTCCGCCTAGGCCAGCATTCTGTTTCCCACTGTGGCTAACCAGATGCTTTTAGGAAGCACACAAGCAGGGCGGGAAGGCAACAGGCCTCTCCCACAGTTGCTTCCAAAACTTTTTTCTGTGGCATACAACCTCTGAACTAGGAGGCTCCATATATTGGAGGGTTGAGGGACCTTTTTTATCCTGGAGGCTAGATCCCATTTTGAAGAATCTTTCACAAGCTACGTTGCACTGGTGCTCAGCTGCTGTGAAGAAGGCAAACTCCATGCTAGGCATTCTAAGGAATGGAATAGAAAACAGGATTGCCAAAATCCTACTTCCCTTACACAATTGTTGGTGCAACTGCGTTTGGAATATTGTGTTCAGTTCTGGTTGCCTTACCTGACAAAGGACATTATTGAGTTGGAAAAAGTACAGGGAAAGGCAACAAAAATGATCAGGGACAGGAGCAGGTCCCCTATGAGGATTAGCTGCAACAGCTGGGATTGCTTAGCTTTAAAAAAAGACAAGTAAGGGGAGACATTATAGAGGTTTAAAATAATGCATTGTGTGGAGAAAGTGAAGAGAGAGGCATTTTTCTCCCTCTCCCATAACATTCAAACCCAGGATCATCCCATGGTGCTGGTTGGTGGGAGGTTTGGGACAGATGAAAGGAACTACTTCACAAAACATATAGTTAAACTATGGCATTAGCTCCCATAGGAAGTGCTGATGGCCTCTAATCTGGATAGCTTTAAAAGGGGATTGGACATAATCATGGAGAAGGAGGCTATCTGTGGCTGCTAACCTTGCTGGCTCTGTGCTTCCTTTTTTACCAGAGTTGCCATGCCTGCAGGCAGTTGCTGAGGAACTTGGGCAGGCAGAGGTCTTACACCCATCCTCCTTGAGGGATCGTGTAGGCAGCTGGTTTCCCACCTTGTGTAGGGAGTGCTGGACTGGATGGACCTTGGGTCTGATTCAGCATGGGTTTTCTTATGTATTTATGGATGAGGATGAAGGCAAAAATGGGTAGGGATGAAAAAACCCAACCACTCCATAAATTCCATTGTTAACTGTTTATAGTAAGAAGCATGAACTGCTTAGCAGTAAGCATGAACAACATTTCCACTTGCACATAAGCAAGGTAAGTCTCTTCTTGTCTGTTGACATAAGCAGGAAGGAATAACTCAGTCACATTTTTCAAATACATGAAGTGTATACCATATACTAAGCCTTTGAATGTCTATTCAGAAGTAAGCGTGAGGATCATGTCTGCTCAGATGGAAGCAGGACTGACTCATTCAGCGGCTTCTTGTCTCCCTTTCTTCCACTGGAGAAAGTTCTTAGCTCTGATAAGTAGCTGACTGGAGACACATTCCTACTGGGCTCTGAGAAAGGGAGCCTTCTTCAGAGCCAAGCATGGAAAAGACTTGGAGAGAAGAACCTTTCCCTTTTTGTGGCAAAAGGGGAAGAAGCTGCCAAGCTAGAGGAGGAAACATGTAGACCTCATCTGGCCAGTGGGATGGAAGTTTCTTATCCCTGATACAACACTGTACCCAGATGTAATTCATCACATCTGAAAATCACCAGCCTGAGGAACTTCACTATATCATCACTAGTGTAATATAACTAAATCTGTGGGTTTATTTATTTAATAAATAAATTTCCCTTGCCACAAAATTATGCTTGAGGTTGCTAACCATAGTAACATACAGAGTAAAAATGATATTAATTAAAACATAATGTAAATATTAGATCCATCAAAAATACAACAATAAAAGAAGTGGACAACATCTAATCAGCTGAAACCTCCTTTAGCAGCAGACCAGCTTACACAGTAAAGGTGTGCCTGAATAAAAACGTATTTGCCTGCCAGCAGGAGGACAACTGAGTGGCAGCCAGCCTCGCCTCCCTTGGCAGGGAGTGGCTGCCAAGAAGGCTTATAAGTAGAGATTCTCTGAAATCTCAGAATAGTCTGTAACTCTAGCATCCCTTCTTGGCATCTTCAAAGTACTCTCTTCCCTCGCATGCTTTTATCAAGAGTTCCTAAAATGACGATGATGATGATTCATTTTATTTGTATACCACCCCATAGCCAATGCTCTCTGGTTGGTTTACAACCATGTAGACTGTGTACTGGTGTTAAACATTCAGTACTGTTTTATAAACTTTTTTTTTTTTTTTGGCAAAGGCATAGCTGGTGTTTGCTGGTCATTAGTTATGTATATAAAGATAGTCCACATCTCTTCTTACAGGCATAACAAACACTTTAATTTGTCCATTGCTTTCCCCTATCTGATATATCCCTGTGAATGACTTCCACTTTTCTTACTAAAGGAAATGGTGAATGGAATTTGATGGTACATTCTCCATATTGATCCCAGCTCCTCTTTCCAGTCAACTTTCTGATGATCCGCTGAGTTTGCAGCACATTGGTGAATAGTCATTTGTGGTTGGCTTCTGGATTATGCTGACCTTGCTTGGAGCTTACATTACTTCTGTTAACATGTTATCTTTTGTTTATCTTCTGTGCTGCTCCCATCACATTTTCAGAGTCATCTTTGTTCTTTGAACTTGCAGCCCTGTTCTTCTTAGCTGAAAATTATTTGATTTTTCTGTCTGCAATACCATGAACTTTTCAGTCTACTGCGGAGTTGGGTAATTTTTTTGGGCACTATAACTATATTGGATTTTTTTTTATTTTGCCAATGCCTTCTTCAACCTTTTGCTGTCCAGATGTCTTGGACTGTAACTTCCATCTTCACCAGCCAGCACAACAAGAGATAGCATGATGGCAGTTATAGTTCAAGACATCTGGAGGGCACCTGGTTGGGGAAGACTAAATTCGATATTCAGACTAAGTGTTGCTGTGACTGGCTAGAAAGTTACCTCCT